CGCATGCGCGCCGTGCATGGGGGTGGCGCCGCCATGGGGGTGGCGCCGCGCATGGGGGGCGGCACCCCCATGCGCGCGGTGCCGCGCATGCGCAGAACGTTTGTGTGACGGGGGTCGCCGTCACACAAATGTTGAGAACCACTGTTCTAGAAAAAAAATTGAGATAGAGCAAGAAAATAATTTATGTATTTGTTGCAAATATTCCTAGTCTTTTCTCTAGGAACTCAGAGCCTTTTGTGTTTTATCAGAAATGTTCCATTTATAGATTAAGACTGAGATTTCTCCAAAGTCATGGATGGATGGGATTTAAACTGCTGTCACTATAACACAGCAATATGTACATCAATCATTAGGCTGTTGCATTCTTGCTTCCTACAGAGCCTCTCCAGTTCTCTTTAAAAATCTTGAATGTTGTTTGCGGCCTCTTAAATTGGTTTATATTCAGAGCTGTTGTAACTTCCATGTTGAGATAATATCTTTACAAGAATTCATTTTCCTACTCCCAATGGATCAGTTGCTACACACCTCTTTTGGCATCCCATTTTCTTGCTTTTTTTAAAAGTGGCTTTTTAAAGATTAAGGATTAACTTGGCCATAAACTGTACAGGTATCTACATTCCTGGTCTTCCAGAGGGACAGGGGAAACTATTCTGCCAGGTATTACTATCTCCAAGCAATCCAGTTTCTTGAGATAGAGGCAGCTGAAAGAGAAGATTTCCCTTGGAGAGAAATCTGTGGAATCTATCCTTCAAAGTGCACTTGACAAAATCAGTGGAACATTAGTGTAACAATATCAAAGTTAGCTATTTCAATCCATATTGTCATTTGGATATGTGCATCAATTTGAGACAAGGGATCTTATCCTCAAAAATAGATTGCAGTGAGAAAGAATGATAGAGATGTAAAAACCTAAGACAGAGGGTGTCAATCTAGGACTTGAAGCTGTCTGTCAGCCCAAATTAAATAGTCCATCATAATAAATTAAGGGGAAAAATCTTCCTTATCCCATTCTCATTCACTCCTGTATTACAATCTAAAAAATTCTTCTTTTATGAAACCTGAATGCTTGGAGTGAGCTATAGTTGGGCAAACTGATATTAAATGAATATTAAGTTTTAGCTATAGATTTTCCAAGATTTGAAAAAAAAATTATTAGAACCATCTGCCAGTTAGTTAACTAATGTCCAGCTGGGAAGGTGGTATTAGGAATCAATATTAAAAGGTAAATAAAATTGCTGGGTAAAATCAAATTAAATCCTAGTTGCATGTTTATATATAGATGCTACTTTTACTGGGACTTATTATGGGTATGTTTGTTTTGGAAACTCATCATTCTGTCTTTGGCCAAACAGTAGAAATTTGAACAATTAGCATGAGAAGTGTTTGAACACAAAACAATACATTGGGGATTAGGTACGCATTAAACGATATTGCATATTTGCATTTGTAGAATGTTTAATTATTTGATGGTAAACTCTACTGACATCTCAAGAGAAAAACTTGATCCTACTTTCCACTTATAGAAATATTGGATAGAAGATATTTTATGCTTTTTATGCTTTTCTCTTTTAAATAGAACCACCGCTGGGAAAATTCAAACATCTTTATATGGACTAATGGGATGCAGATTCTGTTTGTTTTCCAGAGATTAGGTAAGAATTAAGTTATATCAATTTTCCTTTGTGTCATGACTTCTGAACTTTTAAATGAAGATGGCGTAGTCAGCATTTTTCCTATGTAAATAGATGGGACAGCATATGAGAAATGTAGGAATTGTGTCAGATATCAGACATTAGATATGTATAGTCACCAGCCAATGATTCTTTGAATTTTCAGGCAAGCCTTTCCAAGCCCTCTATGAAGTTGCTGGAGTTTGCATGCAAACCATATGCCCTTTCACAAATTTGTTAGTAAATACTTTAGAGCGGTTTTGGAATATTCCTCCAAACTAGAAATCCCCTCCGGAACAATGGTGACATTTTCCTTGACTGGAAATTGGAGAGCCAGTTTGACACAGTATTTAAAAGCACTGAAGTAAAATACTGGGAGACTGTGAGTTCTAGTCCTGATTTAGGTATAAAGCCATCTGGGTAAGTCTGAACCAGTCATTCTCCCTCAGCCCTAGGAAGAACATAGTGGCAAATCACTTCTGAAAAATGATTTCCAGAAAATTACATGAACTTTTCCATAGAGTTATCAGGGATTAAGAATGACTTCAAGATACACAAAAAAGGGAAGGGGGGACTCGAGAACTTCAATAACACAATTTTTTTTATTGCAGTGGCTGTGCTATATTACTATTTCTACAAGAGAACAGCTGTTCATCTGGGGGATCCACGCTTCTATCAAGACTCTGTTTGGTTACGGAAAGAATTTGCTCATGTCCGCAGTTGAGACTACTTCTGAATTATATGGAGATGCTGGAATGTTAAAGAGACCTCAATCAGTATCCTGGGACAAGTTTTCTTCTAATTTTTTAATAGTCTGGATATTAATTTTATATGATGATTTAATCCACAACACTATTCTTCGTGGAGTCTCTATCACTACATAACTATCAGGCTTCCACTTATCCTCTCAGGTCTGCATATTGCACTTTCAGCAGCTGGTTGTAATTTTTTTGAGGAATACATGAAGTGCCAAATTGGTTTGGCTGAGAACTTTGAGGTAGCAGTCCTGCAGTTTGTTTTTGTGAATATTTTCTCAGTCTGCTTGCTGCCTCTGATAAAAAGATTCCCTTGTCTTTATTATGAGCAATGTGATTAGTTCCAAATCCTTACAGTAGGCAAAGGTATTCTCATTGACTTTTTTCTTTTGTACTTATTTTATAAGTTACAAGAAAATAAACCTGCCATTTTACAATAACAATAGTGTGATTTGGGTTTTTCTTTTTGTAGGATCTCATAGTAACAGACAGCTCATGCAAAGTTAAGCTTTGAAGTAATATTCTATGTGTATATATTTATTTTGTTGTCCTTGAATCAATCTAATTGATAATTATAATCAGAATCAGAGAAAGAAGCATGCTTAACTTGGTTAACTGAATATGCAAAGCCTTGATTTATTTAGCCTTGGTTATTTGCATAATATACTAAGCCAAAAATAAAGTGTATGTTATCTGAATATTAGTTCAACGTTTTTGAGTTGGACATAATTCAGATTAAGATAGCAAATCTTCATACATATTAAAACAAAAAATCCAAGAAGCTTTATATTTTAGAATTAGAGTATTAGAATCCTATGGAGGGCTAGTACTAGGACAAGCAAAGCCCATGGGGCAGCTTGATTCAATTAACAACCATGTTAACTAACAACTCAGTGATTTACTAAACTGAAAAGTCGTAAAATGGAGCAAAAGTCACTTAACTGTCTCAGTTAGCAACAGAAATTTTGGGCTCGATTGTGGTTGTAAGTTGTAGTCTCTTCTATCTGTACTACTCTTTCTCCTCAGTCTTCTTCAGGTCAATCACTCCTAACACCTTCAATTTTTCTTCCTAAAGCTTTATTTCTAATCGCTGGATTCTGTTGTCCTCTCTCATCCGTCCCTCTGAGGCATTGGAGTGGAACAATGAAGGTTGCAGCTTTTGACACCCCACCATTATGGTGCAAATACAACATACAATCCAAGAGTGCCCACCTTCATAAAATAGAAGCAGAAAGACCCACCCACCCACAGCAGGCTTTGACAGGTGGCTGAATCTACTGTTCTAGCCCTCTCCTCCTTTCTGCCCCTTTAGGGAAAGTCCTTAGTGAGAGTTTTTCCTACTACCAACAAATGCTTAAACTGCCTTACAATAAACTGAAAGCAGCTATGCAGAGCATACTTCTACTGCTATCCTTTGTGCAGCCTCATAGACTGGAGGGTAGTAGCATTAAACTGCTCTAGGGTTGGATGTCCCATGTGCTGCACAAACCCAGGGTGGCTCCAATTGCAGACAGAAATGGGTGGAAGCAGCTCATCAAAGCCCTTCGCTGCAACTTCCGTACAGTACAGGTAGTCCTCGACTTACGTCCGCAATTGAGCCCCAAATTTCTATTGCTAAGTGAGACAGATGTTAAGTGAATTTTGTCCCATTTTATGACCTTTCTTGCCACAGTTGTTAAGTGAATCTGACTTCCCCATTGACTTTGCTTGTCAGAATTTCACAAAAGGTGATCACATGACCCCAGAACATTGCAATCTCATAAATATGAGTCAGTTGTCAAGCTCCTGAATTTTGATCACGTGGCCTTGGGGATGCTGCAATGGTCCTAAGTGCGAAAAACAGTCATAAGTCACTTTTTTCATGGCCGTTGTAACTTTGAACGGTCACTAAACGAACTGTTGCAAGTCGAGGACTACCTGTACCTACATTTAGAGAAAAACGGTGAAAAATTCAGGTGACGCAGCTCAGCTGATGAAAGGCAAGCTGCAAGTCCAGGCGCTATCCGATAAGCATTTGTGGCTCAAAGATATGCTGCGTATCGGAGAAAGCGCCTCTTTTCGTCCCCCTCAAGTTTTTGGGAAAAGGGCAATGTGGCTTGCCGCCGAGACTCGGGCTACGACTTCAGCACTCGGCCTCTGCATTGCCTCGCTCCAGGACCGACCCGAGAGTGGATGGGACTCCTTTGCAGCTCCGGCTGTTCAGCGCAGCTCCCTAGCCATTCATACAGCCGACGGCGCGAGCCAAAACCCGCGCCTTTCTCTCTCTCTCTCTATGGGAGCTGGGAATCTGCCCCTTTGACTTCCGATCGGAAGTGGGTTTTTTTTTTTTTTTTTGCGTAGTGGTGTCCATGGAGACGGAAGATGGCACCTCGGCGTAAGTGGAGGGCTCGGCGGGTGACAGGGTGCCGGTGCTGTTAGGAACGGCGAGGTCATGTGACGAACGAAGCGCGGGCGCGGGGGGGGGGCGGGAGAATGCGGTCTCTCGGCGCTTCCAGGTTCCAAGTTCGAATGCTCCGGCCTCGGGCAGGGAGCGGTGCAGTCGCAGGGGGTGGGGTGGGGGGGTCCTGCTGGGATCTGGCCCCGGGATTCCAGAGGCTGCCGTGGCAGGAGATACTGCACAGGGAAGGGAAAGGAAAGGAAGGGGAGCCTGCCGTAAAAGAGACAGCCTATCCGGCATCCCCGAAACCTGGCGGGGTGCACCTCTCCTGTTCGAGCATTAACTTTGAGATGCCCCATTTAATCCCATATTTCAAAGGAAACAGCATTCTTTTTAATCGTCTTTCGGATGTCGCAATGGGGGTGATGGAAGGCTGGATTCTGATATACCCTGCTATTCGCAGTGGAACATCGGTTTTAATCTGCGTTTCGGTTTGTAACTGTGAGCATTGTGTCTGTTAAAATAATATTGAAGTATTTGAACACGGATTTGCTCTGAGTCAAATTTGCAAAGAACAAGAATAACTGCATTTACATGGAGGGAAGCGTGTAGTGGGGTGCCCCAGGGCTCTGTTCTGGGCCTAGTGCTCTTCAACATCTTCATGAACGATTTGCACGAGGGGATAGATGGGGAACTCATCAAATTTGCACATGATACCAAGCTGGCAGGAATAGCCAACACTCCAGAAGATAGGCTTAAGATACGGGAGGATCTGGACAGACACGAACACTGGGTGCTATCTAACAAAATGAAATTCAGAGGTGAAAAAAGTAAAGTTCTACATTTAGGCAAGAAAAACCAAATGTACAGGTATAATATAGGTGGTACCTTGCTCAATAGTAGCAACTGTGAGACAGATCTCGGAGTCCTAGTGGACAATCACTTAAATATGAGCCAGCAGTGTGCTGCAGCTGCCAAAAAGGCCAACACAGTGCTAGGCTGCATTAACAGAGGGATAGAATCAAGATCATGTGAAGTATTAATACCACTTTACAATACCTTGGTAAGGCCACACTTGGAATATGCATCCACTTTTGGTCATCATGATGTAAAAAAGATGTTGAGACTCTAGAACAGTGGTGGCGAACATATGGCATGGGTGCCAGAGGTGGCACTCTGAGCCCTCTCTGTGGGCACGTGCACCGTCGCCCCAGTCCTAGGCCTTCAGCTGGATTTTATAAAACCTTTTCGCTTTAGGCCTCCACTGCTGTGTGCAAAAAAAAAAAAAAAAAGATTCAATCAATCAGTCAATTTCAACATCTCCTGGGGGAAAAAAAGATCTTGCAAAGTTGGAATTGATTGATTGAACTTTTAGTCCCACCCAGTCTGCCATTACCACTGCAGCCACGCCCACCCAATGGGCCACACATACCCAATTGGCCACACCCAGCCAATGGGCCACACACACTCGGTACCCGACGATGCATAAGTGGGTTTTGGGTTGCAGTTTGGGCATTCGGTCTCTAAAAGGTTTGCCATCACTGCTCTAGAAAGAGTACAAAGAAGAACAACAAAGATGATTAGGGGACTGGAGGCTAAAACATATAAGGAACGGTTGCTGGAATTGGGTATGTCTAATTTAACGAAGAGAAGGATGAGGGGGGACATGATAGCAGTGTTCCAATATCTCAGGGGCTGCCACAAAGAAGAGGGAGTCAAGCTATTCTCCAAAGCGCCTGAAGGCAGAATAAGAAGCAACGGATGGAAACTAATCAAGGAGAAAAGCAACCTAGAACTAAGGAGAAACTTCCTGACAGTTAGAACAATTAACCGGTGGAACAACCTGCTCCAGAAGCGGTGAATGCGCCAACACTGGAAGTTTTTAAGAAGAGACTGGACAGCCATTTGTTTGAAATGGTATAGGGTTCCTGCCTGAGCAGGGGGTTGGACTAGATGACCTCCAAGGTCCCTTCCAACATTATTATTATTATTATGGATCATCGCACAGTCAACCAGATATTCAGACTGGATTTGGCATTTTGTCTACCTATTGAGTCCTTACCCAGGACCTGGGATAGGCAGATGTGGATGTTTGATGGTATTACAGGTATCATCGCAGGATGGAAGCAGTTCCTAGTAAGGCCGCCTTTTGCAATTGACTAATAGCGAATTTGTCAATGCCAATGGTGTTCAAGTGGTGCTCCAGTTGTTTTGGGATTGCACCCAAGGAGCCTATGACTGTTGGTACTACCCTTGCTTGCTTTTGCCACAGTCTTTCTATTTCTATTTGTAGGTCTTTGTATTTTGTTATCTTCTCCAGTTCTTTCTCATCTATTCTGCTGTCTCCAGGCACTGCCACGTCCACTATCCAGAGTTTTTTGTCTTTCTTATCGACAATTGTTAAGTCTGGGGTGTTATGTTGCAGGTGCTTGTCTGTTTGAATTCTGAAGTCCCAGAGCAGTTTAATTTTATCATTTTCTATGACTTTCTCTATTTTATGATCCCACCAGTTTTTGCTTACAGGCAAATGATATTTTTTGCAGATCTTCCAATGCACCATTGTTGCTACTTTGTCATGCCATTATTATTATTTTGTGCCTTTTTCTAGCCGCATATAAATCATAGTTCCTCTAGCAACTGGTGTCACTCTACATACAGACATTCATGAAATAATCTTTAGGAATATCAATTTAAATTTATAACAGAATAGAGATTATTATCATCAGGTTTGCAGTATACAAAACTATTCTTTTCGATGTAACATTGAGTAAGTTAAATCCATTTCTTTTTGAAAAAAGATGAAAACACAGATATATATATTAATATTTTGGTTGGACCCTCAGATCGTCAACTTTCCTCTACACCTCTGGAAATTCTATTGTTCCTCAATGGCTGGTATTATGCCACATACTTCTTGCTGGAGATTTTCATATTTGTCTATAAAGGTGAGTCTAAAATATAAGAAGTTAGTGGGGGGGCACACTTAGATTTCCTCTTTGCATAAACTCCTTTGTTCTTTTTTAGTATCTGTTACTTACCTGAAAAAAGTGAATCATAGAAAAGTGTGACTTTTTATTTCCTCATTAATTCTCTAACTCAGGGGTTCTCAGCCTTGGCCACTTTAAGACTTGTGGACTTCAACTCCCAGAATTCCTCAGCCAGCTTTGCTGGCTGAGGAATTCTGGGAGTTGAAGTCCACAAGTCTTAAAGTGGCCAAGGCTGAGAACCCCTGCTCTAACTTAACCTATGATTGTAAAGAACTCTTATTTACAGAACCCTTCTTTATAGTAGAATTATTGAAACCAGTGAAAAATTAGATAGATTTTGGATACCCCTTTCCAGAAGCCATCAGAGCTTCTCATCTGGCTCCATGTCCTCCTTTGGGATAATGCTCCCTGCTGCCATCATATGTACCTTACCTGGAAGCCTCCCCCCTAATCCTAATGCACACAAAAAAACAAACCCCAAAACCAAAGAACTCAGAACCTGTGCAGCACTTCTGCTGATTAAAGCTCAAAAATCCAACAGTTCAAATGATGTTGCTATTGTATATTTTCCCGGACATATAGTTCAGATGTGTGTGACAAGCGATTTCAGGCTTTCTTTTCCGATATTCAGATATATCGTGAGTGCCAATATTTAGTAATGATGGATATCAAATTACAGAGCAGATTATTGGAAACCAGCAGATTATTTAAGAAACACTTTTTAAAAAAAGAGGTGTTAGCAAAATTCCTAGTTAAATGTGTTACCTACCTTACTTTAAGGTTCCGGAAACAGATATTCTCCCGTCTATCATTCCTGGGCTTTTCATATCCTGGAGATTTTGATAATTTAATTATTGAGGTTGGTGAGTAGAGAGAACCTCGGCTCTTTTTTTCCAGCCTTGGTCTACAGCTTCCATATATCTTGAAATTTTCCCATCTCCAGCAAAAAAAGATATATTGGTATGTCTGCCTTTAAGTCAATGTTAATTCCTGGTGAGTGCCTAGACTCCTCACAATTTTGTTAGCAGGATTTTCAGACGTCGCTTGCCATTGCCTTGTTCCAAAGCCATTCCTTACAAAGCAGGAGGTTATCTGACTGTAGTATAATGAATGCAAGCTGAGATTCACTGCCTCTGCTTTTACATTTGATCCTTATCAACATCAAACATTTCTCTCTCTCTTTTTTTTTTGGGAAAACCCATAATAGATGGAAAGGGGTACCTTGCTTTCCTTCCAATTCATGTGCCCATTTGTGTATCTTCTCAGGTCTCTTGTTGCCTTATCCATCTGCTAATCTGGCTTTGGACTTGGTTATGCTTTTTCTCTATCTTGGAATTGAAGTCACAAGAATATTTTTTGGTAAGCATCAGAGGATACATAATGATACTTAGAGGAGTAGCACATGCATTTCTCATTTAAAAACGAGCTTCTTTGGTGGCATTTAAACTTACTAGATGTTGTCCCATCCACACCTTCAGATTGTTCACCAAATTGTCAGTAATGAAACCTGACTCCCTGAGAACAACATATATGAGTTTTTGAAAAATGACCCTGGGCAGATATATAAATGCTAGCAGCATTTTATGACTGTATATTGTGCCCAGGCCTTCTTAATGTTCCTATTCAGCTCCAATGGATGTTGATAGGAATGGACATCCCTTCTTTGTGTGGTTTAGATTACATTCCATAGTTTGGAAATAATTAGGAACTATGGAACAACTTGACATATGGGAATGGAATTGTAAGCTTTGGTCAGACTGCTCCCCTTGACCTGTGATCATATGAAATCATATTCTGAGAATTTGTAAAGCTCAGAATGCCATTGTTTCATTTTAGGAGGGATTATTTCTAATAGGTCATTTTTATGTCATGAGAATATATTAAGAGTGGGATGTGCAGAGCATAGAGCTATATATGCAAAACTTCAACACTTGTGTGCCACTTTCCTCTGTTGAACAAAGTCTGAAAGAGAGTCCTGTTTGTATTCAAATGAATATAAGTTGCAATATCTGAGGCATCACTGACCCAGATGAAACAAGGGGCAGAAAAAAATTGTGAGGAGAGATTTAAATTCAAGTTAACATGCATTGAAGTGCCTTTCAGTCCTGCTGCTCAATTTTTTTCTCTGGTGGGCTCTCATATGAACATCTCAAAGGGTTTACTGGATGGTTTCTAACTTCTGCTGAATGGTCCATGTGTTTTGTGTTCCATATGTTATATCTGGCAGGCTCCAAAGGTAACCTTTGCCAGCGGAAAGTGCCACTTGCTGTCAGTCTGGCACTAACCTTTCCAGCAGCAGTGATGGCAGCCTATTATCTACTTCTGCAGACCTACGCCTTGCGTTTGGAGGCCATTTTGAATGCCATCTTGCTTTTCTTCTATGCAGTTGAGCTGTTACTGGGCATTCTAACTTTAGCCTCCTTTTCCAGGTAATTTTCTTGTAAATCTGGGATTTATTGGGAAAGCCAGTTTGGTCTAGTGGTTAAGGCACTGGGCTAGAAAGCAAGAGGATGTGAATTCAGGTTCTGCCTAGGCCAGGCATGTCAAACTGCTGGCCCTCAAGCCGGATGCGTCATGCCAAAACCATGCCCACCCCCTTGCTGGCAATGGGGAAAAAGTCACAATACATTGTGCGACATCATGTGATGTTGTGAGTTTGACATGCCTGGCCTAGGCTATGAAAGTCATCTGGATGACGTTGGGCCAGGCACTTTCTCTCTCAGCCCAACTTATGTTATTTCCTTGTTTTATTTATTTATCCTTTCAGTTTGGATTCATATTGAGAATCTCTGTGGATTGCACTATGTGAAACACTTTGTGATTAAGGGAAATTGCATGAAACCATTTCCGTGCTTAGCCCAGAATGAAGTTGGCAAGCTGGTTTCTTGGAAAAGATGAAAGAAGATATAGTTCCAGTCTTGGTTCAGGCATGCTGAGGCGCTGTCCTGAGAGTAGAGTTGCCAATCCTAGACTGGATGGCCTAAGCACGTCCTCATCATCATCCTCGTATGTCTCCTAGAGCATAACAATTGACCCACTTGGACTTGGAGGCGTTGAAGACTGATTTTTGCAAGTCTCAAGACTGTGAATCCGTGAACTTCAACCAGTGCATAGATTTTGCCTGCAAGTGCTGTACTCTTCAGATTCTTCAAATGGAAACATTCTGACACTGACTCAAGTCTTTACCATGTGTATGATGACTCTTGTTAGGCTGCCTTTGTCAATTCTATTTGTTACAGCCTGTGCCCTGCTCTTAAGAGAGATGTCCATTCCCTAGAAATCAGTATTGTCATTGTTGTGTATTGGCAATTTGTGATTGACACTTGATTTTTTTCTACAATACCCTTGACATAAATACTTATTTTTCAACTATTGTAATTATGTGATAGTTCTAAGTGATATAACCAATGAAAGATACACACACACACACACACACACACACAAACAAACAAACAAACATGCTATAGCGGCTGAGACTTTCAGTTGTGTGTTTAAGTTCAAGGAAAATTTTGATTTAACCAGGTTTATATGAAGGAACAGCCCCAACAATTTAATTTCATACCTTTCACACATGACTGGACAATTTTTTTGTTGCAGTTGTTGATGACATACTTCCCTTATTTTCAATTGGGGATGGGAGGTAACAGGGTTATAGTAATTAAAGGTAGTCCTCGACTTACAACCACAATTGAGATCAAAATATTTGTTACTAAGCGGGACAGTTGTTAAGTGAATTTTCCCCCATTTTACAGCCTTTCTTGCCACAGCTGAAGTGAATCACTGCAGTTGTTAAGTTAGTAACTTGGTTGTTAAGTGAATCTGGCTTCCGCATTGACTTTGCTTGTTAGAAGGTCGCAAAAGGGGATCACATGACCCTGGGACACTGCAACCGTCATAAATATGAGTCAGTTGCCAAGCATCTGAATTCTGATGACGTGACCATGGGGACGCTGTAATGGTCATTAAGTCTGAATTGTAATGGTCGTTAAGTCATAAATTGCTTTTTTCAATGCTGTTGTAACTTTGAATAGTCACTATTCAGGGGTAGGCAAACTTGGCTCTTTTATGACTCGTGGACTTCAACTCCCAGAATTCCTGAGCCAGCCATGGGGAAAGGGAGAGGTTTCCAAGCTGAGCTGTGCTGGCTCAGGAATTCTAGGAGTTGAAGTCCACGAGTCATAAAAGAGCCAAGGTTGCCTATCCCTAACAATAAATGAAAGTTATAAGTCGAGGCTATCTCTGCCATTACAATAGCTGTCCAAGGTACTTTGAGTATAGTTTGGTAATAATATTAACTGTTATAGTTAGAGTGCATCTTCAAATGTGTTCTGATGGACTGATTGATGATGTACCCTCAAGTCATTTTCGACCCCTAGCATCTACATAGATTTTTTTCATGATAATGTATCTCTAGTAGGAGGCATTAAATGAGTACACACAACAGAAGTTTAATTGTGGTCAGAACCATTCAATAATGGAACAGAGTTGCATTTGATGCATCAGTAGTCCCAGTCCATACTCGACCTCCTTGATCAGCCACAAGATACTTGTTGTTGGAAGCTTTGATTACAAGACACCTGGAGGATACAAACTGGAGGCTGAAATTGCCAGGACGGTCACTGGTTACCAGGATTTGCCCATCTTTATCCAAGGCCCAATATTTGCCACCTGGCAGAGTTAGTGGAAGGAAGGTCTAAAATTAGGAAATTTTAGGACAAACAAAGCTGTTCCACTTTCTTGATTTTTAAGGGTGTTCTGATAATTAAAGGAACCATAGGTTGTAGCCATGTTTCTTGTAAGTGCCAAGTTTAAAGATAAGTGGGCAACTTTTTTGACCCCAAGGGCCTCATCTCTTTCTAGATTGGGAACTACACACACCCATCCTTACCGAGATCTTGCTTTTTTACAGGAACACCATGCCACCTTTAGTAATCTTATGCAAGATTACTGAAGAGTTTGGGAAGCACAATTGGTTTCTCCTTCTCACCAGCAAGTTGGCTGTAGCTTGCTAGTTTTGCACTGCCATGACATTAGCTATAGGAAATCTTAAAGTTTGCTGAAAAAAGAGGAAGCCGCGAGGGAGAACTCTTCTGCTCCCAGGAATCTGGGTTTAAGAACATTGCTGGTACAGTAGGAAAGTAGTATTCTCAGCATCTTATCCCAAAGGGGCTTTTCAGAAGACACCTGGACTTTCTTGTTTTTTTCCTTGAAAATGTTTCACTTCCCATCCAAGAAGCTTCTTCAGTTCTTCAGTTATGAGAACTGGGGATGTGTTATGGCCTTGACTCCATTTATCTCTATGGATCTTCCTTCTGTCACCTGGCCAGGCTAGAGGGGTGTCTGTGCGTGAAAGTGTAGTACTGTATGCCAGGTTTCCCTCATAATACATATAATCTGGGGGTCTCTGTTGTAAATAAGCTCAATCAGACTACAATATACTTACTGATTTGGAAATTATAGTAGCCTTCCTCACTGAGTGACAGGCTGCTGAGCACGTAATCAACACAGTTCCCTTCCAACCGCCTCATATCAGAACTAAGACCAACATAACCAGCATCACTGTGCAGGATCAGTAGAGGCCGGTTTACGAGGACTAGCAGGAAATCTTCACTTTTACCTGTAAGTGCAATATAATCTTCTTGATAATGTTCATCTTGGTCTGCAACCACCTGCTGATGTTTGTTAAAATGCCTTTTACCCACCAGATAAAAATTCCCAAAGTACCCAGAATGAGTATCCTAGGAAGCTGTTGGGACTATTTGGTTTGATAGTTCCTTCCCCTGGTCTTACTAACACCAACCACAATAGTGACACTGGCCTAGAAAGCCTTTAATCATTGGGTGTTCACATTTCAAAGGCACTTGTTCCCAGATGTATCATCCTAATTATTTTTATATATCTAGTGCACTTGCTCTATTAAATGCATTGTCAAGCAATAACTTGAAAGGCGTTTCTGCTAGAAGTAGCCAAACATAGTTTGTGAGGGAGAGGGGGGAAATGTCATACCCAAAGGCTAGCAGGCATCTTGTAACTTGCTCCAAGAACAAAGAAGGAGCCTCTTAGAGACCCAACTCCTACTGTTTCACCTAGGCCACTCCATGAAAAAAGCATGGGGCTTGGTGTCCTGTGCTATTTTTAAATCTAAGATCAACCTAGGATTGCAATCTATGAACTTAATGGAGTTAAGAGAGGGAAAGGAATGTCGCTGCTGCTTATTAACAATAGCAATCAATAGTTTGAAAAGAGCTCTCATTTTATAAGCTCAGCCTTAATATTAATTTTCAGTGGGCCATCTGTGATTTCCATGATTTGCCCATGTTTTAATACTGCCCACGGTGAAGCCATGTAATTGCAATGAAAGCTACTGACCAACGTATACCTGCAGCTTTGGGGATTGCCAGGAGCTGCCCGTTGGGCCGCATAGACACATACTTGTCTCCCATGTGAAGCAACACCTTCTGATCCTGATACTGGAGATCAAACCAAACATTTTTGTCCTGTTTGGTGCTGCTAATGATACAGTCATTGGGTCCCTGTAGGAGAAAAGAGTATATTTACTGGAAAGGACTCAGTCATTCTGCCTTACCCGATCTTGAAAAAAACATTCCTAACCCTGAGATTGAAACTTGAGTTTCAGTCCTTGTTATATGGCACTGCATTAAAAATGCTGGTTTTATATGTTAGCCTGTCTCTATATAGGCCATGACGCAGCCCCAAATTCAGCAACCTCTTGTAAAATGATTGAAGATAATGGCTGTGTTTGTATCACATTAACCTGCAGTGCATTCGGCTTACTTATTGTGTTGTCTAAATCTAAAAGTTTAGTCTATTTGCTTCCATGACCTCATTGCTATCAGGACATGATCTTCTATAGCTTGGCTTCGAGTGTTGTATGAATACACACGATTATTGGGTTTGTACCTTGTGATAATCCATAATGTGGTTTAACAGGTTTTTTTTTAACATGTTACATGAACCCAGAAATTGTGATTTATGTGTGTTGCATGATTCCGCCTTTGTGCTACTGTGTAGACACAACACTCAAATATACTCTGTGATTACTAACTACAATATATATTAAAACTGTGACTCAAAGAATGGTAACATAAGGCACTACTTCCTAGTTTAGTTTCAGTTCTGGAAAGATATTTTAGAGAGAAACTCAAAGTCCTGGTCCTAGGAAAACCTCAATCTGTCAAAGTGACAGATTTTGGAATAAGTATTTATTGCCAGGAAAGACAAAGGTTAGTAGCCCATAATATAAGTTACTAGCAGTCACATTGCTGTCAGAATGTACTGTAAAGAAGTCAATCCAAAATGCAATTTTAATGGAATTTGTTTACCACTCTTTTAAAATTATGCAATAAAAATTAATTTGATTCTTTGTTCAAACATTACAATATTTTATTTATATTTCACCAGAAATTAGAGGGGAAAAAAAAAGAATTTCCAAATTAGAAAAGTGGTTGGGTGTGGCAGCAAAATCAGTAGATCTTTGGGGGAATTACCTAGATTATTGGGATTAGAGAACCACCAAAGGACATTTATGCCTATTAGGGTATGCCACATATATTCAAGATACATCTCTTATTTCAGAATTTCTTGAGGTGGTGGAGATCTGGGATGTTTTCAGTTTTTGTTTTTGATACAGCAGCAATTTTGTTATTGTTTTTCATGAAACACAGACAAAAATAGTTCTATTTCCTACTGACATTTAAATAGTTTCTGGGACACACAATTGTGTTACTTAACTGAAATTATAATTGAGCATTCATATGGATAATTCGAATAATATAATCTGATGAGCAACTGTGTGAGTATAGGTAAGTCCTTGGATTATGATCACAATTTGATCACAATATATCTGTTGCTAAGTGATGGGGTGGTAAAGCACAACATCAGGTGACTGTATCACTTAGCAAAAGCAATCCTGGCAATTTGGCTCCAGGCATCCCAGTAAGGAGCACGTGGGGGCTGCAAGGAGGTGGGAGAGGACCCGGGAGGCCCAGTGCAGGCCGTCCAAGAGTTGAGGGAGTGTTGCAGTACAGCATAAGTGCAGCCGGGCAGGGAAAGAATACATTGCAGCTGAAAGGCTTCTTGGTGTGCTGTGGGCCTGGAGCTTCAAGAAGCTCCTGAACTGCAGCACAACATGAAGCTGCAGTCACCCCTGGAAGCCATGGCTGCCCCAGCTACCTCAGCAGCACAGTGCAAAGCCACCACACCCTGGGAAATGCTAAACGCCTGGGAAACCCCAGCTTCTCTAGCCCAACCACCCTCACTGCCCTGCGCTCTGAGACCCTGATGCCTTGCACTCCACCACTCCTGTTGACTTCATCCCACTGCTGAGGAGTCATGCCCAGTCTGACCCTTTGTGATGCAATTGTTGGCCACATCAGACCTTCTTCCCAAATGCCCAAACTTTGCTCATGTGACTGCATTGGCCATAACTTCAGGGACCAGTCATAAGTCCATTTTTTCAGCACTGTTGTAACTCTCAACTGTTTCTGAACGAATGGTTGTAGGTTGAGAACAATTTGTAAAGCAAAGAAGGAAAGAAGAACTACTGATAATGCCTACCTTTCCTTCCATGAGGGCAAATGTCATGACACACTTAGTAACAGATTGAAGTAGCTAATCTTTCCCAGTCTATCCCCGTTCGTGCATTATGCAGATGGACTCACCAAGGACATGTATGTGCCACAATGGCCGCGAAAGCAGACCTTCTTTGTAGCATCATCATACAACAGTTGGAAGATCTCTGTGTTACTTACTGCCATTGCAGTGGCATAGAGGTCAGCACCTGCAGAACAGTAAACAAGTTAAGACTCATTATGGTTTCAGCCCAATAAATTAAAACTATTGTCCCTTGTTGTCTAAAGTCAAGCTAAAGCAGTGCTCAACTGTATTGCAAAAGGATAGTAACCAGAGACCAGGAAAAGAATTTGTAATACTTCCACAATCCTGTCCTTACGAAAATCCTAACAATCTGATTTTCATGACATTCTCGTGGGACCTTTGTTGCTTAAGTTAAGCAAAATTTTAGATGTATCCTTGGGTTGGTCAAGACATTTTCCTTTATCCTTTATATACATTTCTCAGCATGGAATCAGAATAGTTCAATCACAATACAAGTCTCCATGGGCAGCAGATGGCATGATAGGGGAAGATTTCTGCCTGCTGTTTTCTCAAACTAATCTATAGTACTCTTTAGGGTTAAATCAAATCTGCCTTAAGTCCCTTTTATTTCAGTGGAATACAGTATATCTGAATCCAACCCAATATTGCTATTATGACACCTATCCAGATGCTTGGATTATGTATAGTCAAATCTTCCATTTCATTTTTACAGAACCTTAGAATTGTAGAGTTACAAAGGGCCACAAATATCATCTAACCCAGTGTTTTTCTAACTTGGCAATTTTAAGATGTGTGAACTTCAGCTCCCAGAACCATGCTGGTTGGGGAATTCTGTCCACACATATTAAAGACACAACGTTTGAAAAACACTGATTTAATCCAGGCCTTTGCACTGCGCAGGGAAATCTGTTAAACCAGCGGTTCTCAACCTGTGGGTCGGGACCCCATTTGGGGTCGAACGATCATTTTATGGGGGTCGCCAAACAACGCAGTCTGCCATTTTTTTCCCCTTTTCCTTAGCTGTGCTACTCCCTTTTATTCTATTGGCTTTTGAAAGCCAATAGAATAGACTCTTTTGAATAGAGTCTAATTCTATTGGCTTTCAAAAGCCAATAGGAATTGTCCAGGCTGTCTCTGCCCTGCTGAGCCCGCCAAAAGTCCCATTCTGCAAACAGTGCTGCAAGTTGTCTGCGGCGAAGGCGAACTGTCTGGAAGTTTCCACCCCTCCCTGCTGAGCAACTACTAAAAATGTAAGTAAAAGAGGGCCAGGGGTGGGAGGTGGTAGGCCAGCGGGTGCAGGGAGGGTTGCTGGCATGCGTGGGGCCCGGCGGGTGCCTTACCTCCCTTGGGCTGGGCCAGCTGGTGGCCCAGCCGGTGGTTGGCCTGCACCGTCTCTGCCACTTGCCAGCTACGCCTCGGCCGGCGCAGGGGGTGGCACTACGCATGCATGGCACTCCTGGCCAGGGAAAGTCCACGACTTACAACCGGTTGGGTAGTCCTTGACTTACGACCGGTTGGGTAGTCCTCGACTTACGACTAGTTAGGGGTCGCAGCATTAAAAAGGTTGAGAACCACTGTGTTAAACCATCCGTGAGATGTCCTTTTTGTTTTTCATCTTTTCCCTTGCTCTTAAAGCTGCCTGGTGACATTAATAACAATCCACACTCAACCAATCTTTCCTCTCTTATTTTGGGTCTCCCCTCCCAAAGAATCGCTTTTGTAAGATCTCTCCATTTTCGTAGATTTGGGGCTAGGTTCTTTCCAGGGCAAGAGACTAATGAAACTCATTCCGCTCACCAGACACAGCAAAATAACAAGTTACCGTTAAAGGTTATTGTTAGAGGCTCAGTGGTCATGATTGCTATTCATATCTAGACAGATAACGTCGCTTTCGCTCAACTCACCAGGCTTGCAACAGACAAACTTGTTGGTAGAAGAGGAGCGCAGTGAAACTTGGGCAGGACTCGCTTCCACACTGAAGAGTTCATCCCGTCCAGGTCTGTCCATCTTCAGGGTTTTCATGCTACCTTCTCGTCCGGTCAAATACTTTCCCTCATCATCCCGGAAGGCAACCAAGCCACCATGGACTTCCAAGGAGTACATGGTTTGGGCAGTAATGTCAGATACCAGTGAACCATTGGAAGCTAAGAGTTTACCTGTCCCATTTCTCAATCCATACTTCTTCACTGGAGACAGAGCAGGAGAAGAGAACAAAAGAGGTTGACAGGGCTTGGCTTTCAATCCTGGAAAATAATCTCAAAATGAATGTGTGCAAAGCAGAACTGCAACTATTTCATTCTAGAATTACAGCAGAAGCTTTCAACCTACAGTCCCTATTTCCAACAACTTTGTTCTCACCACCTTTGAATTAGCCCAGTTTCCCATAGCTATAATCTACTGCATACATTCTTTTTTTTTCCTTTTTAAAATCAGATTTAAAGTCCAAATTGAACTGTTCTGAGTGAACTTCTATTCAGGACAAGAGGAGGATTTTTAAAGTACTTACTGTATACTGGGATTGTGTTCTGTGCAGTACTAAATTGTTCTCTCTTGGATTGGTTCGTTTCCTAGTTCAATAGCTGAAATTGCCTAGAACTTTTTAAAATATAAAGCCTGTTCATCTACTTTCTGTTTTCCTTCTACCAAAGAATCTGTGCATCTCATAAACGTTGGAAAGTGTTTTCAATTTAGCAGTTCAAATTTATATTTATATTTATTTGTATAGATATCTTTCCAGAGATGGTTCAGAAAGTCTGACTCCAAAATACAGTATCTCGTCCCAACATTATTCTGACCGTATCTAGAGGGCTCCGAAATTTTTCCACCTTGGTTTCCAACTTAGAAATGGATGATCCTGAATCTAATGCAGAACAGAGATCAGATAGCGTGCCTTTGCTTTTCTCTTCCCAACATTTGGGAGAGCTTTGGTATACCCAAAATAGCCTCTTAAATAATCTGCATGCCTGGAGACTTGGGGCCAGTCAATCTAAAAATGGAAACTTGTATAGGCATGACATAAATAAGATCTTTGCACATCCCTCCCATTTTTCCTGGTTTCTAAATATCTTGCCTGATGAAGAATGCTTGGAAATATCATGGCTTGCAACTATAATGTACATTCTTCAGTTAGTCTAAGAAAAATATTGCCTCCTTGGTTTTGTTTTTGTTTTGTGGACAATATGGCTTTTTAAAAATATATATTTGCTTTGAGAAAGAATACTTTTGAAGAAATGTTGTTGTTCTAAAGCATTGGTTAAGCTAATTGGTTTTAGCTTTGCCCCCAGTTTAAGTGTTATAATCACATCTGTTTTCTTATCAGTCTTATTTTCTTTCCGGTACTTTATTGAGGATTTTTAATGTATAGATTCTTGGTATAACTAAAGACTGTGGCTCCTAATTCCAGTAGAATCAGATGCATAAGGAACTGGAAATTAATTTTCACATCTATGTTCATGGTTGTCCCCATGTGTACGATAAAGTAGGACCGTATGGAATGCCTTTGACAGAAAGAGGAATTTGAAGTGAAGAGAGGAATAGATATTTTTGCAATATAGGACAAAGATGATTGAATTTGGGCATGGAAGCCTCCCTGGTGAACATATTCCCCTTTTTGGTGTCAGTGCAGTGCTTGTACTACTGTCTAATTGGAATTACCCAAGTTACCTAACAAATGCTGTTAAGGAAATCAAACTTTGTACTATCCATAGTGACTTCCTGGGTAAGCAGAATTTGAATTCACCTGGTATGTATGGGGACAATTGCCTTCTGTCAGCATTGTGTGCCCTGGAATCCAGACCTATTGAGGAGATGCAAATGACTCAAGCTTAACTTTTTCACATATTAAAACAGAGGATTATTTTAGGAGTTTGTCTGGCTATCTTAATAGCTTTTGGGGAAGATACTAGCAGATATGACAATGTTACTCAAACATGATCATCATTCTATCTCTTACCCTTCTTCATTATGATGCCCCCTTCATATGCTTGAAAAATAATATAATTTCCCCTCTTTTCTTTTTTGTAAGACAAACTTACCCAGATTCCAGGGTAGTATTCCAGCCCTGGTTTCTAGTCTACAAAGGAGGTGAATGAGAGGGAACATAATAGAGCTGCACAGAATGATGCACGGTGTGGATAAACTGGGCAAGGAGAAGCTATTTTATCTTTCAGAATATACCAGACCAGAAGTCATCCAATGAAATTGAATCTTGGAAGAATCAGGATCAATTAAAAAACCTTTTTTTTATGCAACAGGAATTTGTTGCCATGAGACATGGTGCTGGCTACCAGCTTGGCTGTTTTTTTTTTTTTTTTTTTTTTTTGGTTTTTTGGTTTAAAGGATTGGATCAGTTCATGGAAGTCATGGGAATCAGTTAGCCTTGAGGCAGTATGGCTGCCTCGGAAGGCCAGCTGATGGGAGATTAGCAGGCTTCCCTATGCAGATGGCCACTCTTAAGGTCAGATTGATGGATGGGCCATCTGCTGCTGCTGCTCATGCTGTTATGTTCTATAAGCCTGTTCATTTGAATAATTCTTAAAATATGGGCCTACAACTGGACATAGTACTTCAAATGAAGTTTGATGTGCAGAATCCAGTGGAACTATTACTTTCCATGATTCGCAAATAACATTTCTACTGATACATCCTAAATTATTTTGTCCTTTGGACAGCCCTATCAGCTGATAATTATCAAATCCTATCTCATGTGGAAGATTATCAAAGCAGATATTACCTACTCTATATCTATTCATTTGATTTCTTTTTTCTTAAGAGAAGAAATTGTAATTTGTTTCTATTCAAATTCATGCAGATGTAGCCCCTCCCTAACCTATCAATATTATTTTTTAATTTTCTTTTTTTAAGCTATTGTTCATCTCACCTAAGTTTGTATTGCTTACATAAGCTGATAAGCTCCCTGCACAGGGGCTGGTTATTTGAGGGACCATCTATCTCCAATAATTCCTGCCTACCTAATAAGACTGGGCAGAGTGGGCACATTCTGAGTCGGTTCAATTAAACAACACCATCTATTGGAACCTAGAAAGTGGGTCTTTGTTATTGTGGCACCTGCCCACAATAGATGAAATTGTATCCCCTGGAGATTCACAAGGCTCCCACGCTGCAGCTGTTCCTCTGGCCTTGCTTGTGGAACTTGGCTTTGCTCCCAGGCCTGCAGTTAGGGTAACTTTTGGTCCTCTGTAGTTTTCTTTTGATGTGTTAAGTTACCTATTCCCAATGAACTTGTCTTTTGACATGTAAGTCACCCAAAGGTTTCAAGAGTTGGGCCACCTCTAAATCAAATCAATCAAATCAATAAATATTTGTTCAACTATTCATAAACAGTGTAGACTGCATAGTAAACATTTCATAGATGTATATAAATGTAGGTTTTGAGTCAACTACAGACATACTGAAAACAGTTTGTTAATCAGCACATGGAGTTTTTTCATCACTTGCTTTGCTAAAGTCAACCTATGTTATAATCATGGTATATCCACAATCAACTAATGAAGATACCGTATAAAAATGGAGATAAGATTAGTCTGGCCACAAATCCCTCCTGATATGCAATGGTCATTGCATTATTTTCAAAATGTTTACAAATTGATCTATAAATTTACAAATTCTACAAAACAAATAAACATTTACAAATTTCTAAAGTAACCCAATAAGCAACACCAGACTGACTGGTCTGTAGTTTCTTGGATCCTCCTTTCCTCCTTCTGAAGTAATCAAGCAGATTACTCTCCATAGTTCTTTCTATAGTATCCTAATGACGCAATCTGTCTGTCTATGGAGATTTTTTTTCATTCAAGGTCATTAGACCTTGACTTATTTTTAGTAGTCTCAAGGTGATATTTTGCTCCTGCTTTTAAAAAATGTGCATTGTCCTCTTTGTAGAGAAATTAAAGAGTTACATGATAAAAGGGACAAAATCTTGAGGCACCAGGAGGAAAATATGAGGAACCTTAAGGGAAGAGAGCAAGATGAAGGAATGACCCTACATTTTCAATAAGATGATGATTGCTTCTAAGATTTACATGATTATTTCTGTGTACAATGACAGCATAAGTTTTAAAAGTAAACTTGATTCTGAAAAGTTTTCAAAATTATATTGGCAATATTGTAGACATGACAGTAATGTTGGAATGCATGTCATCAGCAACCATGTCACAGAAGAATGTTACTATGGAAGAAATCTATACTTCTTAAAAGTTGACGAAACCATTATTTTTCTGCAATTTTGTTAGACACAATGTAGCCTAAGACAAAAATGTTGAAAATATATATTTATTTAACACAAAATGTGATGTACTGCCCCCTGGGTGTTTATTTTAATCAGATTTTTTTGGGAAACTGTTGAACAGGTGGTCATGCATAGGCCCCAATTCAGCTCACTTTTTCAAATTATATGTACTGTATAATCTTATTCTTGTTTAGTCAGGCCACTCTTCATCTCAGTGAGATACCTTTGCAACAAATGTATTTAGGATTCTATCCTAATCAAGGTTTATTTTAGCTTTATGTATGTAGCCTTTATGTGTGAAATTGTAAGATTTATTTTATTTTAGACTAAAGCCTATTTAGAGATAGTCAGTGTGTTTTATCTTGGAATTCAAAGTTTCATCCTGCTTCTTGAGACAGTTTCAAATGTTAGTTTTAGGACAGCTGCCTATGTTGGAAATGAAGCAAAGTTATTTAGAAGTTGAGTCACCTTAAAGAAGAGATACAAATAAGACTCTGGACTTCCAAAATTCCTTATGCATAATAATTACATCTAAAATCACTTTCCCCCACCTTTGAAATCATAGTAGATAGTGATGACTGATTCAGCTCCCCAAGGCATATCACGATCACAGCGCAATACCTCAGCCTTCTCATCAAAACGCACATAACGTTTCCTGTTGGGGTTATAGATTGCAACATTGGGGTGTATTGCCAGGTGCAGGGTCCACTTTTCTGTTTCACTGGAAGCCTGGGCAAAGCATGTAACATTGTCCTCTGCCCCGCCCAGGTAACGCTTGGACTGCTCATTCTGCAGAGATACCTGCCAGGAAAGAAATGTTACCAAGTCAACCTCATTAGACAAGGGGGTGGAGGTGGCGAAGGACACGCTCACACTGAGAACGAAAAGCTACGATGGCTCTCCAGGTATTACTAAATGTCAGTTGCAGCATTGTATACCATGAGTTAGGGAATGCGTGTTTATTTGAAACTTGCCCTTCAGCAACTATACATCCTATGGCACATCCTGGTCCAGACCCTTCTGCTGTAAAGATTCAGATTCTTTTTCTACCAACACATTATAGTTGAACAGCATATTTTAAGTAGTAAAAACAAACTTTGTATTTGGTCCACTAGCTGTTTTATTAAGGATTTTGGTTATAGTTGGAGGTAAGTATACTCAGTCTATGCCCAACAGTAGGACATTGAAAACTACCAACTTGATTTATTTAGGTCTAGGTACAAACTAAGAATCAACTAGTTCCCAAGCACTGCATACTTTTAACATCTACCATTTATAGAGACCAATGCATTGTAACCATAAGCAGCTCACCACATATGGGAGAACAGCAAACGATTCTTTTTTTCACAGCAAACAACTCCCATTTTCTTTTTCTTTCTCCCCATCCTTTCCCTCCCACTCTTTTACCTCAACCCAGTCCCACCAAATCAACCCTAAATAGTACTGGAAATAACTAGGTTGTAATTCTGTGGCTTGGGATATATAATCAATAGGTGTGTTTGGCCTGAATGACTGCACCTTGCCATCTGGATACTGATGCAGCAGGAAGAACGTCTGAGGCCCTGGCTTATCCTGGTCACAGGTGACTTTGCCGTTTGGGTCAGCTGCTAAGTAGCGTTTCAGGGCACTGATAAGGTGAACTTTTTGGACAGCCCCTTCTCCTGGGCCAGCTGCTCCAGCTCCATGTGGGGTCACAAATTGCAGTACCCACACCTGACGAGGCTTCAGTTGCTTGCCTGTGGCTGCCACCTGGAAACGGAAAGGTTCGGCAGTCAGGTATCTGTTTGCAGCATTGACAAGTCCGAACTCCAGGGAGTATGTCATGGTGGAAAAGGATAAATGGCAACAATTCTTCAGGCCAGCTACCTGCTTGGCCTACTTGAGATTGCGTCTGATGCACAAGAGCATAATGGATGCCTAGCAACTAGGCAAACCCAACTCCCTTAGAACTAAGCCCCACCCACAGGAGTCCATTACTCAAGCTGCTGTGTTCTGACAGCAGGACATCCTTCAAGCCTCATCACTGATTACAATATTGCAGACGGCACCATTTTATGGCAAACCAGAGGCTTAGTGGAACACTGTTCACATACAGTAGGACACAGATTTTCTTTTAGCTGTTTGCTTCTTGTATGCAAGGCGTTCTGTCTTCTGGCAAAAGCTTGCTCTCCTCTAGCAGCTCACTAGACTCAGGACAACCGTTGCCCAATGAGAATAAGAAGTTACTGGCAGGGATCCTTGAGAAGATTGCTCAGTCGTTATACAGAGGAAGTAAAGTGCAAACTTTTATGCAGGATGGCAAAATAGATCTTATGCCCAGTTTATAGCAATCTCCCAATAATGTATATTTTCCTATGAAATGTAGGTGTGTAGGTATATTTCCTGCTCCAGCATGTTTTTCCTATGTCTAAAGTAATCAGGCTACCCCCCCCCCAATAAAAAAAAATCATGACCAAAACCTAAATTCAGGTAAAGACAGCAACCCCCCTGGGAATTATTAAGTTTAACCAGAAGTCAATATTCTCAGGGATTTTGTCAAATGTTCAGACACAGTCTGAAGTATGATTAGTTAAATATAATGATGAGATAGAAGTTTTATCTTTTAAAAAGGCATTTTAATTTTTGTACACAAAGTGGTTTTTGAACTAATTTAGCATTACATAAAGCCATGGTTGTACAAGGGCTAGCACCCAGCTAGAACATGGCACTTGCCTTATTTATACATCTTCACTGACGTTTCTAAGTCACATTTAGCCCAATCCCTCCCCCTACAATCTTTTTTTTTTTAATGGAGATTTCTAAAAAACAACTCACCCTCCCTTTTAAAACTTACAAAAGGAAAAGAAACAATACAATGCAGTATAAAAGATTGACAATATCATCAAGTTTATTACACAATTTCCAACCTATCAGAAAAAGACAAACAAATCAAATCACGAAGAACAGGAGTGGGAAAATAGAAGGGAACTGAAGTTATGTTTTCTGTTTTCTCTTTTTCTTCTTTTTTTTTTCTTCCATTATTTCAAAACAAACTAAAAATGTCCCATTAGGTAAAAAGCAACTTTTCCAATCCATATTGTATACTTTACAGTTTAAGCTCTCTCCGCTGGCTTACATTAACTTTTTATTTCCTCTTAAAAGAACATTGACCTTAGACCCTCTTGGATCAACAGCACAAAAGGAGGCATCATATCCCTTGGTGACACAGTTATCCTCTTTAACCTATCCAATTCATTGTTCTCTGAGACAAGACAGATCCTTTTATGAGGAGGGCTTCACCATGCAGTTGGATAGTCACAATGTAATAGACGGTTGGTCTTACTAAAGAAATCCAGGGTATGTAACTTGATTTTGTGTAACTGGGGTGCTCAGCTAGGATGGAGCACTGAAAACTAAAATGCACATCTCAAAAAGTTCCTTCTCAAAGATGACACTTGAATCAAGATTTCTGCAGCCACTGTTTTTCCATAAGGATCCTCATGTAATATGTTTCTGGTTTCAATTGGTTGCCAGCCGAAAGACTCACTGGATCCAGGAATCCTAAGTTTTATGTTTACATAATAAAAACTTAAACTTTGTTCTTTCCCTCAGCTGGCACGCCAGAGACCACTAAGGTTTTATGACACTGAAGCAAATGTGTGAGTGAATCCCACCAAAGTGAAAATTCCAAATGGGAATGGGGGCAAGGGTAGTTTTGGACCTTAGTTCAACACTTACATCACACACAATTTAAAATGCTCAAGGTGTGCTCTAATCAATAAAGTCCAGAAGCCTCAGCTTGACTTTGCCCCAATTCCATGTTTCTGTATCTAGTCACAACTCTTCCTCTACAACAAGGAAGGTGATATACTGGGAAAGGATGGCCTTGAAAATAAATGTTTGTGTACGAAATTACAATCAGAGCAGCTAATGCGGTGAAACAAAGCAAGGAATTTGTCAGTAAATCACCTGGGGATAGAGTTCCTGCAATAGCGAAAGGTAGATTTATTTTTTTAAGGGAGACTCAATTTTATGGGCACAGCCCCTCCTAAAAGAAGTTAGGTTAAATTGGTATGACAACTGTCAGGAATTAAGAGGCATGACTGGAAGCAACAGCTAGCCTGTTCTCATTTCAGAAAAGAAAAACAAAACTTTTCTAAGCTGTGTACAAAGCTGTTAAGAGTACAAGACTGAAGCTGTTTTGGAAAAAGGATCAAAAATTAAGAGGGACTCTATGGACTGATGCCTAAAAAGACAATGCAGTTTGAATTTTGAACATAAGCTCCAGTGAGGCTATGGTAATATACCTTGTGCTGTGCTGAAGCATGAGGTCTTCCTACAGGAGAGAAGCTGGATGTATTCCTCCCTGGGTGTTTCTAAAACGCCATGGAAAGGAAAGAGGTGACAGACCTCTGTGGAAAGCACCATTCTCTTTGGGTCCAAGAATCCATGGATTGAAATGGCCCCCTGGTCACAGTGGCTCAGACAACCCCTCCCAAACTCCAAGTCATTCAGTGTTCCTCCATCAAGCAACAGCAGCAGCAGCAGCACACTTAGGAAGAACTCAAGTCTTAGTGCCATAGTGTGCCAGATGGAGTCCTATAGGCAAAGTCACTTCCAAGGGGTCTGGAAAGAGCAGAGGGCAGCGGGAAGGAGTGGGTGGAGAATCCCCATCCTTTAGTCTTGATTAAGGACAGGATATAAGTCCATAAAAACACTGAATGCTTCCAGCATCCCTGCAAAAAGAGACATAAAATAGGAGTCACTTTTAAAGGCATTTTTGAGAGCATAGTTCCAAGAGTGAATTCCTATATGCAGAGGGAATTGAAAGTTGTGGATTGTTTCAGAGCATAGTTGACCTGGATTAGGATTTGAAGCCAGGTTTCTTCTGCCACTGAATGATATAGACTAGGCATAACCCAACTACTTACTTCTCATCACAGAATGGCACCTACCAAAAAAGATCACCACCTCAGGTCTTATGAAACTATTCAGAAATAGGGGGAAATCAAAAGGTTGTAGTTTAGTTTAGTTTAGTTTTTTTTTGAAGTGTCCAATTCCCTTTAACCCAGAGCAGATTACAGTGGAATAAAATCAGTTAAATTTGAGATTATTTTTTTTAGAAATTTTGTTTTACTAGTATTTCCCCTTCTGAAATAAGATATGAAGTTAGGCATATACTTCACCCAGGGAAGAACAAAACAGATTCTGCACAAATGTACTTTAGGATTTCCTTCTTTTTTAAGTAGCTAAATTAGAAGCTCTGGTCTGATTATCTACAGCAGTGCTGGATAATCCTTTTGGGCCCAGGGGTCAAAGAGGGCATGGTCAGCAATGTGGTCATTTTCCCTGGGGAAAAAAAACAGGAAAAACCAGCCAAATTTTGGAGAAGGTGCTACTATTTTTAAGTAATGCCATGGTTCCTTACATCCCTGCAAGCTCAAGGCAAGAGTTCTCAAGTTATGGGTTGTGACTCCCACGGGGGATTAGCGAGCATAATGAGGATCCCACTTGCTCCCACTCTATTTGGAAATGGGCAATTATGGTGAGTTACTGGTCCTGGACTATACCATTGAATCCTGTTGGTCTAAAGGGTTTAGACCAGTGGTTCTCAACCTGTGGGTCGGAACCCCATTTGGGGCCGAACGACCATTTCATGGGGGTCGCCAAACAACGCAGTCCGCCATTTTTTCCCCCTTTTCCTTAGCTGTGCTACTCCCTTTTATTCTATTGGCTTTTGAAAGCCAATAGAACAGACTCTCTTCAATAGAGTCTAATTCTAATGGCTTTCAAAAGCCAATAGGAATTGTCCAGGCTGTCTCTGCCCTGCTGAGCCCGCCAAAAGTCCCATTCTGTAAACGGTGCTGCACCAGTTGAGTAGTCCTCGACTTACGACCGGTTGGGGGTCGCGGCATTAAAAAAGTTGAGAACCACTGGTTTAGACTTTCCTTCAATCACCCTAAGAGATGAACTATCAGACCAGGAAAACTTCAGCATGAGGCTTTTTCAGCCAACTCTCAGTGACACAACTCTGGGGGCTGGCGGAAAACATCCAAATCCTGCCTCAGCACAGAGGTTTTTCAGTCAGCCTCCAGAGACAAGAGGGAATTCTCTCGGCAGGTGGCAGCAGCTTGCGACCCTCCCTGCCAGCTTCCCCATTAACCTTCTGGGGAAGCTGGCAAGGACAACTGCAACTGGTGGTCACATGATCAAGAGGCACTTGGCAACCAGCTGTAGATGCAAATGGATCGCCAAGCACCAATCACAATCACGTGGCTGCAGGAGTGCTGCAGCACTCTTAACTTTGGGGACCAATCCTAATCACTTTGTTCAGCATTGTGGTACCGTATATTCTGGTGTATAAGACGACTTTTGAGAGCGTTGAAACAGGCGCCAAACCCGGGGGTCGTCTTATACGCCGGAAAGTAGTTTCCGGCATATAAGACGACTTTCTAGGCATGCGACTCGGCCTCGATCGTCTTATATGCCGGAAATACCGGTAGTTTCCGGCATATAAGACGACTTTCTAGGCATGCAACTCGGCGTCGATCATCTTGCGACCCGGCGTCAAACTCGGGGGTCGTCTTATACACCGGGTCGCCCTATACGCCGGAATATACAGTAACTCTGGACGGTTGCTGAACAAATGGTCGAAAGTTGAGGACTATCTGTTCTTGAAGCTGCTTCATATAAAAAGGAATTGGCAACAACAGGAAGAACAGTACTGACAAATAAAGTTATTTTCTAATCCTTCAAGACCCCCAAACTTCTGAAACAACTTTACAAAGCACTGAAAAATTAAATGCCCACAAATGAAGAAAAAAACAGGATTCAAGTCTTAACATAACATCACCTCTCCTGCCCAATGCCCGCCACGGATTCTGCTGACAACAATATGGACTAGGATACCCAATTAGAGGGAAGAGACAGATTGCTTTCTTTTTTTAAAGGGAGGAAGAAATAAAGAAAGACAGGCATATTAACATTCCCTTGACCCATCTAAAAAAATGTTCTCACTTCTCTCAATGATGCCGATCTCTTTCTCTGTCCCTGTCTCTGTGCCTCTCGTGCTCCCGGCTTCTTTCTTGGAAATAGTCCTCATGACGATCTTCATTATGAACCACATCTCGGTGCCTCCGGCTGCTCTCACGTGACCGACTGGGTGACCTATCACGTGACCGATGTCTTTTTCTGGAAAATAACAAGAAATGTCAAGTGTGGTAATTGGATAAACTTGCTGTTAGGTTTTTGTTTTTGTTTTCAAAGGGATACACTGCTTATATGGATGTACAAATCCCCCCCCAAAAAATAAGACTGAATCGTGAATATAATAAATCCAGCCGGATAAATACAAATAGTTTTGCTGGTTGTAACAAACCTCGAGGAACTGCTGCTGCTGCCAGTGCCCATGCTGTA